ATGTGCTCAACAGAGGTAACTGCTGGCTGAACGTCACTGATATAATTAACATAGCTTCTATCTCTGTACAATGATAAATGCCCACAGGGATTTCTAAGCCCACTTAGAAGCACCACCATTTGCAGATGAAATACCTAGTGCAGTCAAAATTAGAAATATTAAGACCCATGGAAAACTAAAATTCCAACTTCAAAAATTAACAAGAAATTGTTGAATCTGAAAGTCTGTAGTTAGGAACAAATAAAAACAAAAGAAAACATGGCGATGGGTTGAAAATGCCACTCAAAGGGATTCTAGAGGAAGCATCACACAGAAAGTGTGGTTCTAGTCTTGGTTTAGTTGCTCAATAGTGATGTGATTTCAGTGAAGTCCCTAAAGCCATGTGGCTTTGATTTCTTGCACTCAACAGGAAGCTGTGGTCCCTATGTTTTAGCAGGCAGCACGTAGTTCATCAGAATGTCTCAGCAGCCATCTCTTCTAAGTGGTATTTATTCAAAGTTCTTTTATAAATCAGTTTTCTAGAGCTTAGAACCAATATTAAAAGAGAAAGAGGGTGGGGTAGGTGTTGTGTGATGTCCAAGCGTTTCCAAAGGCTGCTCAAACCACAGGTAACCCTAAAACAGAACATTGCTGTATTAAGCCTACCCATAATTTTAAATTTTATAGGAACAGTGTTCTAACTCCAAGTGCTGAGGGTGGTGGGGGTGAGGTAGAGGCAGTTTGGTGATGGAGGAGAGGTAGACTTGGAACAGGGGGACCTGGAACTCGGTCAGGGGGAACCATGAAGCACCTATTATCACTCAATACAATTCTAAGCAAATTAGATATTTTAAAGGTAGGGCTTTGAAGCTTGTTTCTTCTCTAACATGTTCTCAGAAAAACAAGATACAATTACTAAAAACCCTAAGTTTGATACTTAGCAGTGCAAAGTGACACCATGTAGAGATAGAGAAGGAAACACTGTTAGAACTAATGGGGAGAGATGCTAAGCATGGATGAGATGCCAAGTCCTGTTTGAGACAAGCTGGATTCGAGGTGCAGTGAATGGATCTGAAATAGGGAATGAAGCCTGAGCTGAACATTTACTAGGGCCCTAACACAGACAAACATAATAGCAATGGATGTACCAAGAAGAAGAGTTTTTAGAGTGAGACTAGAAAGCTTTGGCTATATATAGTGTTGAGAAACACTGATTTAGGGATGAGAGGAGGAAAAGATTCTGGTAAATGGACCAGGAAAGTGGAAAAGAAATCAAGATGCTAAGAGAAGAAGGTGTTCTTGTTCTGCAGTCTGACTGAGATGAGGGTAGTGGCAGATGTGGCAGCTTAAAAAACAGATGTGGCAAGACAACAGGAAAGAGGCTCAGACCCAGAGGCAAACCTTTCATTTCCCAGCCAGGTAAGCTGGATCCATGCACATGGAGATGTCCTTCTGGACCCCAGGGCCTGTTGGTTTGTAGTGGCTCTCCACATGCCACTTTCTAAGCTCAGTAGAGTATAAAATTTAAAAAATGACTTTTAAAAAGTTTCTTTATTAAAACAAAAACTTCAAGCACAGGATCTCTTCACCATCAACTAGAAAGCATGAGCAAAACATGGGAGGTTAGTAGAGTTCTCAAATGGAAACTGAGGGGTTTTCCATTTGAAGACCTGATTTTGCTGTTAAGCAAGAAGAGAGTCTATGAAGAATTGAGAGGCAAATAGAGGAAAGAGTCAAACTGTGATGAGGGGAGATGGATTAGAAAGTGTCACTAAGGAAACAGCTGGGATATGGAGCAGTGCTGAGAGACCAGCTGATGTCTGTAAACAATCTGTCTGGTTGTATAACTTCCCCAAAGGAAAAAGTGCAAAGCAGATGAGACAGATTTATCCAGAGTAGGGCAGGTGGGTGGACAGAAAAATATGGGCAAGGACAAGCATAACTGAATGAACAGACCATGGGATCTCAGCAAGATTCCTACATGTGGGAATCTTGATTTGGAATAGTTGTGCCTCCTGTAAGCATCTATGTGCTATTGCAAAATTCTGTGGACACTATGGACTCTGCAGACAGCTTTAAAACTGTTGCAGATTTGTGGTTCATTTCTAGCTAATGTGAGAAGTATCACAAAGACCCTAACTCCACCAACTGTAACTAACCTTCCTCCTTTTATCTTATGCTAATTTCCCTCTTTTCCCCTCGCTTTTCATTTATCTTCTGTGAGCTGAACCAAGTCCTTTCAGAAACAAATTTAGTTGTAATATCAATAGATCAGATCAAAGCATAAATATGTCTGCACTTTTTTGTTTGTTTTGGTGATTTGCCTAGGTTAAGAAATATTTGTCTTTTATCCATTTGTATCCTAAGGTTAAGTTTGCCAGTTTATGCAAAGTAAAAAAAAAAACAAAACAAAAAAAAAACAAAACAGTGGAAAAAGAAGACCCTACACTTTAAGATTCACCACTGACAAATGCCTGCTGTAACCCCAATGATTGCAGGTAGTTAATGAGATGCATAGAAATATACAGTACTGAAAACCTTCTGAAAGCTGTTAACATGAGGAATTCTAACTACTCAAAAACATAATGCAAGGGGAAAAAAGAGGTTTTAAGTGGATTACTCATTTTCAAGAAACTAAAGAAAAACAAATATGCTTAAATTTATACTAAACAAATCTGAGAATGCAGTGTATATCAGAATATTATAGTACTCAGGATGATTCTAAACAAATTATTACATAAATATAATGCATACAAAACTTAATAAGTGATTACCATTAATAAAAATAAACCAATTATAATAAAACTCCAAACCTAGATTCAGATTATTTAAAAACATTTAACTCTGAATTAAAAATAGTAAAGAAAAAACCCTGACTCTCCAAATATCAAAAATATTACAAAGTTTTCCTTCACAAGTCCTTTTATTGACAAGCTTTATTTATAGTTCATTATAAACATTCCTGGGTTTACTGTTTACTAGGCTTGTACTGCATAAGCATAAGGGAAATCAGTCTGGCTTTATTTATCATAGCAATGTTGATACAAGATACAATAGCTTCAAAAACAAGAGAAAAATGTCATTAATAGTATATCTGTAACATGATACCACATATTCAGTAATAGTATGAATTAAAACTAACAAGTACAGTATAAATAATTTTGGTTGGCTGTCTAGCTAGTACTATTGTTCAGCAGACTATGGTTCACTGGTCATGAGCATGAATGGTCTCTAGAGTCAACTGCCTCATCCTGTCCTTACATCTGTAACCTTAGACAAACTACTATCTGCTAGTGTGCTGACTAACAAGCTCTTGGAGATCACAGGTTGGGAATCTTGACTTGAAGCACCTGTTATTTTCCATGGTGTAAATATTTTTGCCATGATTAATTTTAAGCTACAAATGTTACATCACTGAGGGAAGTACTGTGAAGAGACGTCCACAGTGGTCTTGAGGTAATAAAAGTAGAGACCTCCTACAATTTTGCTAGGAATTAAATGAGCTTAAATATGAGGTCTGTCCAGAAAATGTGAAGTCATTGTTAATATAATGACAATGTTTTGCGTGCCTTCAGTGCAACATGGCAGTCAAGGAGAGTGGACTGGAATAAGCAATGTGTGAACAATGACACTTTCACTGTACTAGTTAGTAGGAGCAGTAGATGCCATTGAGTGAACATGTGTATTGTGTGGCCAGTTGCATTCAAAATACCTGTGTGAGTATAGCAACAAGTCTGCATCAGATTTTGTGTTAAGCTTGAACATTCTTCTGTGGAAACTATTCAGATGATTCAGACAGCTGCAGCTATGGAGAACTGGTGATTGGCAGCTTCATCATGACAACACACCCACTCACGCATCATGTCTGGTGCAAAGTTTTTTGAGAAATATCACATCACCTAGGTGACTCAGCCCCACTACAGCCCAAATTTGGCACCCTGTGAATCTGCGCTGCCTTTTCCCAAAACTAAAATCACTTCTGAAAGGGAAGAAATTTCAGACCATCAATGATATTCAGGAAAATATGATGGGGCAGTTGATAGAGATGGGGAGAACTGTGTGAGGTCCCAACGTGACTACTTTGAAGGAAACTGAGGTGTTATCGTCCTATGTACAATATTCCCTGTATCTTGTATCTTCTTCAGTAAATGTCTCTATTTCTCATATTACATGGCTGGATACCTTCTGGACAGATCTTGTATATGGCATGTAAAGCACTCATTAAAGGTTAGCTATCATCTTCATCATCAGCATCATCTTACTAAATCATCAAAATTTATGATAATTTTATCCTTTGGTATGTCTCAGGAGTAAAATGTATCACAACTAAAGAAATAAAATTTTAAGTCTTCCTATATGCAATTTAAAAGCACTGAATAAATGTGTCTAGATAGCAGGACTCTCCTCTGTTATCAACCTCTAATATGGTATTATATATACCCCAAACTATATTACAATTTGCATGGTAATAATACTGCACTATAAAAATCTTATTTAGATTTACAGCAGAATGCTTTACTTTTTATAAAGCAATTACTTTCTGGAAAACATTTGTTCTACCTCAAAATATACCAGAAAAAAATTTATACTGCCTGTATAATATTCTAAAAAGTACCAATAGAAGAGTTCAATAATTTGAAGATAAAGTAAGATAAAAACCCAACCCCACTAAATCTCACTAAAATTATTTTTAGAAACAGTAGTAACGCCTTGCACTAACTCAAAATAGAGCATTTAGTATTTGATGTAGTGAGGACTTCGAAAATAATCACTGCAGAAAGAACCTGGTTTTTGTTATTCCCTTTTTTGTTTAAGAGAATATTCATAAGTATCAATTCAGTTCTATATACTTTCATATAGCCACACAATAAAAAATATGTTGTCAAAATACTAAGTAAAATGAAAGAACAAAAAAAGACATGAAAAGGAAAAATCCTCTTAAATTATTTTCAATAAAATATGTTAGGTTTAAAACAACGTCACACAAGGATAAAAAAGGAAACCCCTGGCCTTCAACTCACCTGTAAACAAAAAACAAAATATCCACTAATGGTCTGTTCTGTGATGACATCTTCCATGGTCCGCAAGGTGGTACCGAGGTAGGAATTCAGGAGCTGGGTAGGAAGCAGTCCCACTGAAGATGCCATCAGATAGTTGGGTAAAGAGAGATCAGTCATCTAGAAGACCAAATTAAAGGGAATGGGATGATGACTTATTACCAAGAAAACTTTCAATGTTACATCAAACTGTGTGTATAAGTCTTGCCAGTGGTTTTTCCTTGGGGATAGAGGGAGCTGAAATACTTTACAGAGACCTAACTATTAAAAATAATCATAAATGGAATAGATACAAATATAGAATATTCAGAATGAAATACAGTTAAAACATTTTGAATATTCTATTATTCTAGATTAAAAGATAACATGACTATCTCTTTTTTCTTACATGTACATAAAATGTGCACAAATGGATCACTCTGTAAAAAGTCTTCCTCATGTCATTCTTCTTCATAACACTTAAATGGCAGTCTGGTCACAGGTCTTTGAAATCATGTCTGGTGCAAAGTTTTTTGGGAAATATCACATCACCTAGGTGACTCAGCCCCACTACAGCCCTAGAAGGACTTCCCAGTGCTGGAACTCCATCAGCTATACCCTGTCTTGGAGCATCAAAAATTTTATCTGTAAAATGAGGATAATAACTGCCACCCTACATGATTATTGTCAGGTCAGAATCAGAAATATTTTCCAGCAAATGCCTAGAACATGAGTGACACTCAAAAAAGGTAGAAATTATTATCATCATGCAATTCCACTACTACTGTGTGGATGCAGCTCAATTTAACAATTCTTTTGGTGTGGAACATTTAAATAACTTCCTTATGTTTTTCTTTGTATGTATGTGATTATGTATTCCTTTGTTGCCATTATAAAATTTTAAAAAACTATAATGAAAACCCTTGTACACTAACCTAACTATACTAACTACACTAACCATTATAGGAGTCAGTGTCCAAAATATTCCATAAAACCCATCTCCCAGTATTCACACAGTCTGTGATCCTTTCCCTATAGCTCAGGCTATACCTGGTAAGGTGTTTTAAGTAGCTCTATGGATAGGCCCAAGAGGTGAGGAACGGATGTCTTCAGGGAAGGGAAGCAAAGACCTGAGGCCTGTCCAGAGGCAAATTATTCACCAGTCAAACCTTAAAATGACTGTAGCCTGGCCACACCTTGACTGCAGGTGTTAGAGAGAACTGTCAGAGGCACCCAGGGCACTGCAAAGGGATTCCTGACCCACAGAAACTGAGATAATTTATTGTTTAAGCCACTCACTTTTGGAGTGAACTCTTACACAAGTTACTAATACAAAGTATTTTTCCACTTCTTTTAGGAAATTCACTAGGAGTGAAAATACTGGATCAAACTGTAATAACTGCTTTCCCAAAAAATGTCCACAAAGACTTACATACCTATCAATAAGTAATATACTACTGTCCATTTCATTATATCAACTTTAAGTATGAAATTTCAATCTTTCCCAGTTAGACAAGGATAAAAGTATTTCATCGTTGTTTAATCTGTACTATTTACACTGGTATTAGTTTTTTTCCTTTTTGCCAGTGAGAAAATGAACACAGTCCCCCACACCACAAATTATGCAGTTAAGTTTCCCACATTTGGGGAAATTGCAAGGGTCAGCACATCCAGAGTACAATGGATAAGTCTCGCCCTGGAAAAACCACCTTTGTGATCACGGTATCTCTCCTGCCAGGTAAATATAATAATATTAGTTTTAAATATACTTGGTTTTCTATTTGTATTTCTTTATGGCTTTATTTGTTCACGTCTGCACCTTTTAAAATTTGAATGTTAAGTATTTTCCTTATTTACTCATAAGGGCTCTTTATATAGTAAGGGCAATCTTTTGACTATTCTATGTTGCAAATATTTCCCTCTACAGTGTCCCTTACATTTTAATTTTGTTTTGGCATACAACTGTTTCTACATTTTTATGTAATCAAGTATTATGAATCTTTTCCTATGATTTTTTCATTGCTTTTAACTTTAGAAAAGTCTTTTTAGATCCTAGTGCTAGTTTTTACCTATTATTTCTTTTTTTATTAAATTTTCCTTTGTAACATTTACCACTTATTCCTCCTAGAATTTACTTGGCTTAAACATGAGAATATAAACTATTCCTCCCCTTCCCCAATAACTAATTTTCCTAGCATTAGTTGTGGAATAATTAATAACTTTTCTCATGATTTGTGATGTTTACTTTATTAGAAATAAAGTAATTGTATATACCATGATCTATATGGGGCTTTAATATGGTCTACTGATAGCTTAAATCTTGTACTGTAAAGACTATCAGTTAATATCTTTATTTCTCTCCTTTTAAAATATTTCTCTCCTTTTAAAAATTGTCATACTATTCTTAGTTATTTCTTGTTACAGATAAATTTAGGTTACTTTGTCATTCAAAAAATATTACTCAATTTTATAAGGTAAAGATTGTGATAAATTTACAAATTCATCTGGATAGAGCTAAAATCTTCAGAATATTCAGCATTCTTATCCAAAATGTTTCTATAAATTCTCAGAATATTTTACACCTCTTATTAATATTTACTAGTTTTATTCATGTATTATACATGATATTCATTTATTTCCAAGCATTTTATATTGTTGTTGCTACTGCTATTAATTTTAAGAATGACTTTTCCATGTCCTCACCTTGGTATTACTAGTATGTGAGAGTTCTGGTTCTTCTTTCACTGCAATCTTATTTTCAGTAAAGCAACATTCATCTGCACTCACAGATGATTAACTAGATGCAGTTCTGCTGGTTTGGAAGTTCACTCACAACCCGCTAACTAATTACTGACTCAGCAACTGCCCCACCAAGATCTCAGTGGCATCAACAGAGACGGAAAGTTACAACTAACCTACCTTGAAGGATTACACATGACAATACACACCAGCCCTTTAGAAACAAGCAAAGTAGGAGCCTTGTGTGCACAGCATTAGAGTGAACAGGATAAAAATTAGCTGCAGGAAAGGGGCCAACAGTGATCCGTGGAAGAAGAGGCTTTGGAAACAACTCTGAAAGGTATATCTGGGTTGGTAGGTAGGTGGGATGAGGAAGAGAATAAACAGGAACAAGACAGTGGGCAGGAAAGCATGGGCTGTACTGGACACTAGCATGCAGTCTAGGTTGTTTCTAGGGCACATGCAGAGGAATCCTGCAGAATGGGAAACCCTGCAGATGGGAAATGTACTTGGGTGATGCCTGTAGGGGTCCTGGAGTGACACTGGGGGGGTCTAGTTAAGGAAAGACATTAAGTGGGGTTAAGTTTTAGGAAGTTTCCTGACAGTATGGAACTCGTACTGGGATAAAGGACTTTTCTTTAGAATAAACATGTTAAATATATAAAATAAGTAAATATGACAAAAATTAATCTTATAATAATATTTTGCAGTTAGTAATAAAACATTACATGTTCTAGATATTATCTTCAAAGTGAATATATAATGTCAATGCAAATATTCAGACCATAGTTTAAATGTAATGAAGTTTCTCCGAATAGTTAAAAAGATCTTTACAGAATATGACAAACTATAGGTTTATAATTTTTACTCATTCAACAAAAATTTATCATATGCCTTCTCTACACAGGGCCCCACTCTAAGCAGACATAAAGATACAAATATAGAAAACCACAGCCATCTCTGTGGTCATTTTAAGTCATTTTGTGATATACTTAATGACAAAATGTTCATTACATTCAGTAAAAGGTCATAAAACTCATTTATAAAATTTACTTACAATGTTACAGAAGCAAAGCATTGCATTAACAAATACAAAGACCAGAAAAATAAACACTAAAATACTGACTGTTTTCTTCTTCAAGTAAAAATAACTTGTACTTTTCAAAGTTCTTACAATGAACACTTATTTTGTAGACAGAAAAAAACAAATACTGTTAAAATAAGTTTTTAAAAGGCTTCTCTGCTTTTAAAGATTTTTTTTTAATCTAGGAAGAGATAAAAGACTATAATACAATAGGCTAGAGATACAGATTTGTGAACTGTAAACTCATTTGGCACAGAAACTAGGAGGTCTTTGAAAAACTCAGCTCTTCTCAGACCAGAAGAACCCGGTAAGTCCAGGACTCTCCCATTTACCAGTAGTTTGATCTCGGATTAGCTACTTCACATACCATGCCTAGACTGACTTAGCTGTTAGGTAAGGATTAGGGTTGATGTGAGCATTAAATAACATGCATGTTACAAGAACAGAGTCTTGCATTTAGTAAGTGCACTATAAATATTTTTAAGTTAAAAAAAATCTCTGAATGTCGGTGTTCTCATTTTGGCATGCAGATAGAAAGAAATAGTACACAATGAACAAATATGTATTTTAACACAGCTACCCAGCAGGTATTAAACACATTTTACAACAGAAAGTATGGGTCAAAAAAAGTAACTATAAATAACTAAAGATGTCACAGTAAATGTTAAAACCAAGTCTGATTTCAACTGTGAGGCATTTGTTCCCTAAAGAACTCAGCTTCTCCATCACTGATACAACCTTGAAAGGCTGTTGTGATGATTAAGGTATTTCATGCATAAAATTCTGCTCTGTAATATGACATGGTATATAACATAGGAATAAGAGGATCTTTCATGCTATGGTCTATGTTTTTAAAGTTATTTTAGGTTTCAAAGATTTAACGATTGAAATAAAATTTCCCACATGGATTTAAGAAATAGAAACGATCAGTCTTGACTTTTTAAGTTACTCTATAGCCACAGAGAAAAGAGGAAGAATTATTTTTAGGGTCTCCTGTGCAATGAGAACAATAAAATTGTTCTCCCTTTGCAACTCCCTTTTGGAAGTTGCAAGCACTGACACAAATACTATTACCTATAAAAACCCAATAATCATGTACTATTTTTTGAATTAAAGGTAACATTTCACAGGTGGTAACTTTAAACTTTAGAAGTCCAGATGACCCCAAGTGGGCATCTTAAAGGAGAGCCTACAAGAAATACTTTCAGGTTTACTAAATTCAGAATGAAATGTTATTCCTGTGAATGTTTCCAGTTTTCAACTTTATCAACAATTTCCTTCTAGACAGCTTTACTCTTTTAGAATTTTATCTCCTCCTATACCTGCATTAATTGTCCTTTCTTATCAAACCAGTTTCTTTTCCCAGCAATTGATAAACAGAAAACCCTAAGTTTCAAGGCTACAGACAAGATTTGCTGTTTTAATCAGAATTATCATATCTACCTCTTAGAGTGAGAAGAGTTATATAAATTAATGTATTAAAGGGCATGTAGTAAACTTGGGATGGCAGAAGAGAGGCTGGAGAATAGTTATGAGGGCTTGAAATTTGTCCTGATGAAAAAAGAAAACCCATTTGAGGGTTTTCTGCAGGGGAGTACCAAGATCAGACCTGGCAGCAGTAAGACCTACAGAAACAAGATTACACAGAAAACAAAGGAGAAAAAAGCTTTAACTATTTCCTGGCAGAAATATTAGTGCATCTTTAAAAGAGGAAAAAATTTAAATGTGTGGGAAATTATATTTCTTATGATCTAAGAATTGATACTCTAAAGTTTACGTAGTTATTTTCTATTTAAAGAGTTTCCAGCCCTGGCTGGTGTGGCTCAGTGGACTGAGTGCCCACCTGTGAATCAAAGGATTATTGGTTTGATTCCCAGTTAGAGCACATGCCTGGGTTGCTGGCCATGTCCCCAGTAGAGGTGAAGTGAGAGGCAACCACACATTGATGTTTCTCTCCCTATCTTTCTCTCTCCCTTCCCCTCTGTCTAAAAATAAAAAAATAAAATCTTTTTTTTTAAAGTTTCCAAAGTGGGCTGTCAGCCTGCTTATCCCTTCCTAACACACATAGGAGCAGGAAGAATTATGGTTGAGAACAGGTAAGAAGGAGGAAAAGCCCTTCCTTCTTTGGTAAATTCACCTTTACAACCAGCTCTTGCCTCTAAGTGTAAAGGCCACTAGCTACACCACTGATAACAGTAACTGCTAACAGTTACTGAATGTTGACTATGTGCCAGGGAAAATACTGCCTTCACTGCACTAGTTCAATTAACCCTAACTCAGCAGACATTGTTGAAGGTTGTCTGTTTCTAAACCTGTGCCTCTCAGGACCACTACACTTCAGTCCTCTTTGAGGTGAGACCAGATACATTTCTTTAATCCATGGGCATTGAGAAAATGACTAGGAGGGAGGGGGCGGATAATTTAAAATACAAGAAAGGAAAAAGAAAATAAGAGAAATATGCCTGGAAAAGAGGGCAGCAGTGGAGGGCCAAAGGAGCCTGGGAGTGGAGAGGGTAGGAGCAGAATGAAGGTCTCAAAAGTAGAAGGAAAAGTCACCCTAAAACAACATCCACCTAAGCTTTCTTTTCACTTACATACCATAAATGAATTGAGTAAGCTGTTCAGGTTGAATGAACAAGATGTATAAGACTTGGCTTCACAAGGCTCTTTATGCATGACCACAAGTAAGAATTTTCAGTGTGATGCACCTTATAAACCCAACAAGCTCACCCCTCAGCTGTGCCAGCTCAGAGGGAGGTAGGGGCCCACCCTTAACAAGCTCCAAGACAACTGAGCCTCTGATTCTTACATGATAAAATTGTGCTAATAGCACCTATTTCAAGAGACCTTTTTTTCCTTCTTTTCTCTTGACCCCACAATGCCAAATTGAGAGTTGTCCCTGGGGGCAAGCTGTTTCAACTACATAATTATCTTAATTTGCACATACAAAATACAACTTCTTACTCACTTAATGTTAAAGAGACATTATCAAAAGCACCTATTTTTAATTAATAAATATGTAATGAGTCCTTATTCCTTATTATATAACAAAAGGAAGAAACAAAGCCATCAATGACATCTTGTCATCAGACTATAGTATGAAGTTTGACTCTATCATTTATTTACTACCTAGGTGACTTTGGGTAATTACAGTAATGTCTACTAAGGTCAAGATGTATTAACACATGTTTGTTAAGCCAGGCTCTATTACATGTATTTACCTGATGTACTCTTCTTAATAATCCTACAGAGTGGTACCACTAGTTTCCCCATTTACAAATAAGAGACTGAAACACAGAAAGAATAAGCAACTTGACCAACAGAGTCTGAGCAGCAAGACTCCCTGCACCAGCTCTGTGTTCCTTACTATCCAACAATGGACTACATGGCACACACAGTCACCTGCTGCAGGGCTGGTTTAAAGGCTAGACCAGTGAATGGAAAGAACCTAGAACAGCATGACCACAGCAAATGGACAAGAAAGGGATAAGGATTATAAGGATACAAGTATACTGAGGAACTAAGCAAACTTCCTTAGTCCAACCATCATTCAAAGTCTTAGGACACTTGATATTACCTGAGCTTGATGAAAGTTAACGTTTACACTTCTTACTGTAGGAGGTTGTGAAAGGGAAAAAATGAACCCTGAGTCCCTACCAATCTCCTGTAAATAAATGCCAAACTTGATCTCTACAGATAACACCTTATGTACTTCCAGGCCTCCACCAAAATTCAGTCCAGTCATTGATGCTGCTGGTTAGAGGCAACTCAAGATTTGCAAAAGGATTTCAAGAGAAAAGAAGAAAAAATCTTAATTTTGTCACAAAGAGGAAAGCTTTTTAGAATTATTATTAATAGAAAACAAAATGACAAAGTTTCTAGAGAGTAAAAATTATTTATTTTCTAAAGAAAACAATGTGCTAGAACCACTAACAATATATAATGCAAGCACTTCTATGGTTTTGAAAGCTATCTCTGTTTACTCTCACACAGTTTCTCTAAGTCTAGGTGAAAGGCTGAGTTCTTGAAAAATTTCTGCAAACTCTGCAGAATCAGTTAATTTGGGGAATTCAGTAATCTAGTCCAACCCCACAGGCAGGTAGATTGGTAATGTGTGCCCAAGTCACATCAACTGTGTGAAGAGGAGTCCTTTCTTGCAGGGCGTCAGTCTCCTCACAGGCAGAGATTCTGTTCCTCCATCAACTGCAGAAGGAGCAGACAAGCTACAGGAATTTAAGTACAATAGCAGAACATACAAGGGCAGAAAGTCTGGAGGCGTGTAAAGAAGAAAAACATGCTCACTGTGCACACGGTTACCTGGTGATTTCAAAATGAAGTTCCTTCAAAGAAATAAGGATGAGGATTTTCCTCCTTACATTGTATTTAAAGCAAATTAGGGGACAAAGACCTATTACAATTAGGAAACCGGGTGTGGAGTCAGCAGCTACAAGCCCCAGTGTTTACCTCATGTCATTAAACAGTGTAGTCAAACTGATTCAGGCGACAGAGAAGGCTAAAAATGCAGCTGTTACCCGTTGACTGTTGCAACGCTACTACAGAACATGAAAATTGAGCCTCAGTTCAACTGGAAATGGACATTTGCTTTCATCTCCAATTTCAGCCACGAGGGCTGTTCAACCAAACGCGTGCAGAAACGGGTTATTCTTCCTCTGCCAGACTCCCACTGAAGGCCTGTCCCTGATCAGCCTGCTGTGAACACTCCCAGGCTGCCAGAAAAAGTCACTGTAACTGATACTGTTGTCAACCTCTCGCTGGCACTGATCCCATAAAGCGCCCTCTCAGGCGTCCCAACCGCTTTAACACAAGCAAGAATAGGAGGGCCGCGGACGTCACTCACCGAGAACACTGCGTTCTGTAGCCCAAAGGGAATGGGAGTCAGCCTGGCCAGCGCCACCACTTTGAGGCCGCCAGCTCCCTCCACCACGCGGATGACCGCGCTCAGCCGCTCGCTGCCCCTCACCCGGGCGGCCACACGAGCCGCCAGCAAACGCCGGCACACCACGTGCGCGACGCCGGTGCCGAACAGGACGCCCGCCGCCATGAGCGCCATGCCCAGTACGAAGCCATACAAGTAGCCAGCAGCCACGCTGAGCACGATGTAACCCCAGCCGCAGGGGAACGATACCGCCACAAAGCCCAGCACGAAGAGCAGCAAGCCCAGCAGCGGCGGCAAGCCCTCGGCCCAAAGTAGCAGGTGCTGCAGCGAACGCCGGGCCAGCGCCAGCGAGGCCAGGCCCAGCGCGGCCAGCAAGCAGCCCAGAGTCAGGCCCCGGCAGCTACAGGCGCCGCCCGGGTACCAGCAGCGCGCCCGCCCCACCTCGGCCACACCGCCCACTGCCCCTGGGCCGCCCGCCGGGGCCGCGCCCTCAGCCGGCAGCTCCGAGGCGCGGGCAGGCCGGGGCACTAAGACCAACGCTGAGCGGGGAGTCGGCCACGTCCGCCCTCCCTGCCGCAGGGTCCGACAGCTCGGCGTCCGCACGCGCTGCCTCAGCCAGCCAGTCCCTCCGCCGCGGCGCCAGTCAGGCGTCGGCCCTCCAAGGCGCCGCGTCCGCTCAGGGGCAGCGAGGCCCCATACAGGCCTGGCGCCGGGCGGCGGGAGTGGGCGGCAGGCAGTAGGCGGCGATCAACAGTCTGATGGGCAGAGGGTCTGCCAAGGGTGGATAAACCGGGGACCTTCAGCTGCGAGCCCGCCCCTTTCCGGCTAGGGGGCGGGGTTCAGGAGTGGGGCGGGGTCTGGCGCCCTCGTCCCTCTGAACCCGCCCCTCGTGACGCACAGAACGACCCGGCCTGGGGCAGGAAGTGGGGGTCGCCTTTCTGTATCCTCAGACGGGCGCGCACAGCCCTCTGGTCCGGCTTGGTCTGTCCCATGCTCGGACCTGCCTCTGTCTTTGTCCGTGGTCTCAAGGCCTCTGTGGGACTCGCAGCAGATCTCATCTCCCTTAGGGACACTCGGTTGGCTCTGTGGAGGGCTTGCTAGTCGTAAACCTCCCCGGGTGGCGAGAGTCTACCAGGGTCTCAGGTAACCAGGCCCACCTGGATCGCTTCCTCCCAGCCCCCGGCTGAGTCAGACGCTTGGTCGAGGGGCCCTCAGACTCGCGGGCGTTTCCTCTTCCTCTTGTTTTTTTTAGGTTCGTGTCCCTGTGTTCCGCGCTCACGGTACCGCCGGGACTCAGCGTCTTCTGGGAGCGGAGGTTGACCGCACAGTCTCATTAGTCGTTGTGAGGACTGACAACAACGAGTTGCTGGCCTTGGTCTGGGATCGGGAGTCCGTGTCACCCTTGACCTCACCCCGGTCGCTAGGGACCTGACGGGACACTTTGGGGACAGCTGTCATCAGGTGCTTGCAGAAATACTGTTGGGTAAATAAAGGATCACAGTTTATAGGGGAGTCACGCAGGCAGGAGAACCACAAAGGGACTTAAGAAGCCATGAGGGCGGAGACAGTGTGCCAGTCACGGAACAAGAAAGACAGAAGCATCTACAGGTGGCTGTAATTGGATGTGGGAAAGAGGGACAAAGAGTCAAACTTAACACCCGGTCAGAGAGGAGGAAGGGTTGCTTGGCTGGGTGAAAACGGTAAAGAGATTAAGAAAAAAAAAAAAGTCGTAGACACTGGCAACAGTATTGTGATTAACAGAGGGAAAGGGAGGTGGGGGGAGGTAAAAGAGGGTAAAGGAGGAATAAATGGTGATGGAAAGAGACATGACTTAGGGTGATGAACACACAATACAATATATAGATTATAGAAATGCACACCTGAAACCTATGTGAATTTACTAACCAATGTCACCCCAATAAATTCAACAAAAAATAAAAAAGCATAATGCCTGGGTTTCTTATTCCAGGTAGGGGCAGGTACTGGGAACACAGTTTATGGGACAGGTAAAGAGTTAAGATGTGGCACATGAGAGAGATGTGAAATGTCTTGTGCAGTTCCACAGCAGCATTTTAGTATGCTTTTGAAAACGTGAGTGATGGGGCATGCCTGGGAAAGTGTGATGTTGATGTATAGGCATCAGTGGAAGCCTTGATGGTAGAGGCGCCACGAGTCCGGTTTTCATTCAAGTTGAGTCCCATTCATTCAGGATGAGCTGCACAGCACGTTATGCTCAGGAACTGTGAGCACTGCATTAAGTCGCTGATGCACAATCTTCCAGAACTCTCTCTTTGCCATGGAAATTGACAGTGTTCCACCATACCCTATCAGTCTGGGTCTTGGAGGGGGGATGATGTCCAATAAATCCCCACTACCCATGAGTGAGAATATAAACCTTGGCTGTTTTAAGCAGCTGAGATTTAAGGGTTTTATTTGTCACCAGAGCAGATCTTTGTCACTTCTGACCGAAGTGGATGAGAAAAGAAGAATGAAACCTTAGGGATACCGGAGTGTTCATTAGACTATTTGCATACAAGATAGAGAGACCTGTAGACCACCTTGATTAAAAGGGTGAAACACCAGTATTCATGTGTATATGAGTAGCTGTTAAGAACCTAGGGACCTTGAAAGACAAGCTGGTCTCATTTCTTTTCAATTGTATCTCTGTTCCTTACCTTTGATCTGTTGTCACACTATCAACTGGCAATTGATTTTTTTTTATCCTGTAATCCACATTGGGTAGGAGGACAATCCAGTTGCAAGAGCCTTTTGCTTGAAGCCAATCCTGAGCATCAAACTGGCCCAAGGTTGATTCACTCAGGTAAGGGGCTCACCCTAATCCAAACAGTGCCGCTCCAACACAAGATACTACTTAGCTCTCCTGGACTGGGAGCTCTGGTCAGGGCAATACAAATTATAATGGGACCTTTCCAGTTTTGTCCCACTCCAATTTAGTTTTTTCACAGACTTGTGAAAGTTACATTTAACAAGTAGAAATAATAGTTAATTGTGAAGAAGGGAACAATAACTCCATTATGAAGCAGTGTGATGGGTGCATCAGAGTGGTGCCACATGATTTGATGGCAAAGGGAGGGAGATAGATGATTCCAATGGGGTGGCTATTTCCAAAGACTGCTCTTAGTTCTGTTGCTGAATTATATGTAACTAGACACTTGGAACTGAAGTCTCTCTCAATACCCTGAGCTAATTGTGAGTTTAACCAATCTCCCCCAGCTCTTTCTGTGTAGCGTTAGTTGTGGTGGGAATTGCTCTAATCTCATCAATACACATCTTTCTAGCATGTTTCCAGTCTTCCTCTTCTTCACTGCTCTTCTTTACATGTCTGACCCAGAAGAAGGTCTTGATGCAGATGGCAGATAAGGTCTAGTGGAAATGGGGGAGGCATCTACTCATATCAGTTAAGTAATCATTTATATAATTAAGGAGAATTATAGGCTGCCTCTGTAAGTATAACTTCCAGTCCAGAATTGTCAAAAGATTTGTGTTATCAGTTTAAAGTATTTTCAACTCTGTAGAAAATAGTATCTCAGGGTTCAATTATAAAACTCTGTGAAAATGCCAAACCTTGCAGTTATTGTAATTCTGTTACTGTACCAGTTGCTGTGCACATAGTGCTGCTCAGTCTAGCCACCATATCAGTTAACACCATATAGGATATTAGGGAGAGAATGAGTATAGATTATCCTCTTTAAATTTTTGTTTAGAAAGTAAGAAAAAGAAAAATTTAAATACTGTCAATGAAAAACTGATATTATTTCCACAGAATAAATCTTTTTTAGGCACACATAATCATATGTCATTCAGTAGTATTAAGTATGTATAGCTTTTCAACTCTTCTCATAAATTAAGACTGAAATAAAATATATAACTAGTGAACATTTTTAAAAATTGGATTTATGCCAAGACTATTTGTGTCAGTCATTGGGTATGAATTAGGGAGAAAGGCCACACTCTGTTCATCGCTGGTATAGAGTGACCCATTTGGCTGACATTCTTCCCCTTGTATCTTCATGTTAGTCCCTCTCAAATCTGTGTTCTCAGTTGAACAGGAAGAAGCAGGACACCTCCCTAGGAAAGAGGATTCATCTTCAGTCAAAAGAAAAGAGTTAAGAAAAGCACAGGAAGAGTAGACAAGTTGTCTACTCAACCACCAAATAAGACAGTTACTCTTCTATAATTAGTGAAGGCATCTGTGATCCCATCATTTTAAAATACACACTGAGGGTGAGACTTTGCCCTCAAGGATTCATGTTCCAGTGTGAGAAGCATAAACAACATAGCACATGTTGTAATACATAAATGTATTACATAAATGTGATACATGTTGTAATACATAGTACAATACATGTTATAATATATAAACATGTATTACATCCTATGACAGCATAGAGGAAGGAATAACTACCTAGGAGTCAGAAAGTTTTAAATTTTGCAGCGCAGCAATATTTGAGCTGGATGTTGAATAATGAATATATACTTATTTATACCCTGCTCATTGCAGAAGGATTTAAAGTATCTTATAGGAGTTGATCATGGAGGAGCAGTATAGCATTTCGGAAGTGACAAAGGAAGTGACAAAGCACAGACGTATGAAAGGACACTGTGTTTGGGAAATGGCGATGAAATCTGAAGGCAGACACAAGGCAGATCTCATGGTCATTGTGTTATCCTCAAGAAGTGGTCAATATTAAAATGAAGGAGAAAATCCTAGAAGTAGCAAGAGATAAGGGGACAGTCACCTACAAAGGACTTCCCATCAGACTGTCAGCGGATTTCTCAAAAGAGACCTTACAGGCAAGAAGGGGCTGGAAAGAGGTATTCCAAGTCATGAAATCCAAAGACCTACAACCAAGATTACTCTATCCAGCAAAACTTTCATATAGAATGGAAGGACAGAGAAAGTGCTTCTCAGATAAGATCAAATTCAAGAAGTTCATCATCACCAATCCCTTATTATATGAAATGTTAAAGGGATTTACCTAAGAAAAAGAAGTTAAAAAAACATGAACAGTGAAAGGACAGCAAACTCACAGTTATTAACAACCACACCTAAAACAAAAGCAAACTAAAAGGACAGCTAGATCAGGAGTGGAAACATAGAAATGAAGATCTCAAGGAGGGTTAGCAACAGGGGAGTGGGAGGAGAAGCGGGGAGAAGGTACAGAAAACAAGTAGCATAGACAATAGATAGAAAATAGATGGGGGGGGGCAAGAATAGTATGGGAAATATAGAATCTAAAGAACTTGAGACACATGGTCATAAACTAAAGGGGGGTAATGGTGGGGACTGGGGGGTAAGGTAGAGGGGAATGAAGGGGGGAACAGAACAACTGTAATGGCATAATCAATTAAAAAATAAATTAAAAAAAAAGAAGTGGTCTTTAAACTTGAGCACATAAAAGTCCCCTGGAGGGCTTTTATAAACACAGATCACTGGGCCCCATGTCCAGAGGTTTGGATTCTGCAGGTTGGGGTGGAGAAAGGCAAGAATTTTTACAGTTTTTAAAAATTCCCTAAGTGATGCTGATTTAGCTGGTCTTGGGACCGCACTTTCAGAACCACTTCCCCAAAGTTTAGATTTTATCCTAAAGTCCAGCAATTTTTAACCTTTTTCATCTCATAGCACACATAAATGAATTCCAAAAATTCTGCAACACACCAAAGAATACATTTCCTGATGATCTGACAAAAAATAGATATAATTTTGATTCATTCACCTCAGATAGCTATTGTGTTGGCTGTTGTCATTTTTTAAATTTGACAATGCAGGGAAAAGAGGTCAGTGCCCCTGACTAAATAGATGAGTAGGATATTTTTAAAATTCTTGTGGCACACCAGTTGAACATCACTGCTATAGTCAATTGGGAGTACCTGGAATTTTTATAGCTTGAGAAAGAATCAAATTTGGATTTAGAAAGTTTCTTGCCAGCTATGAGGAGAACCTGGAGGGGGGCGGGAAACATTACTAGATTATGTCACATGTGCAAAAGACAAAGTTAGTGGGTCTCAACCTATTCATGGAAAGATGAAATAGACTTGAGAATGTCTTTAGGCTTGATCAAGATTATGTGCAACAATGGAATATGAAGAATGAGGGAAAGAAGAAATATCAGGATGTCAAAATTACATTTTATGGTGTATATGAAACACTATAATATTTGTTTTAAAAAAAAAATCTTATGCCACCAAAATCTTTAAAATGATTTCAACAAATTCACAAAGTTTCAGATCACTTTCTTGCCAGTGTTAGGCCTTTGCACCTAAAGTAGAGATGGTTTGGCC